TTTTTTTAACATCTGGTTTAAAATGCCACATTTGTTGGTAAGTATATATTTTACTTTCTTGGATCAACCAGCAGAGGAAAAATGATGAAAATGATCATAATTTTTTTTTTAAATATATATATAGTCACATGTATTTGATGGCAAATGCTTTTGCTTGTAAACTCTGACGGTCACAGTCCCTGACAGGCTTGGCTTAACAGAGTTAGAAAACTGTTGGCAAATTACTTTGAAATGAGGACTAAAATGATGTGAATCTTGAGGAAAAAAACAGAAAATGTATCAGGTTAAATCAGAGAAACATGAGCAGCACAAACAGAATTAAAAATAAACAAATAAAAAAAAACTCTCACCCTGACTCAGAAAGCCAAACTTGAGTTACTGGAAACATCACTTGACCCTGACCACTGCTCAGAGTAGAGCTTCAGCAGTTACACTGCGAGCCAGTGTTTTCTGTTTTTGTTTTAAGTTTTATTCTGGGAATTATAGCTTTCTGTCTTGTATTTTCTCTTTTACCTCTTTTAAAACACCCACATCCAGTGTTCAGTGTTTTGGGTTTTGCTTCACTGTTGTCTTGTCTAATTAGGTTCAGCTGTGTCTCCCTCCTGTCTGCCATTTTCTTGTTAGTTTTGTCTGTATATTTAGTGCGTGTTTACCTCTGTTCTTCGTCAGAGCGTCTGCCTATCATTCTGTGTACCTCTGTTGGAGCAGCGTTCAGATAGCTGCTCTGCTCTATGTTGGTACAGGGCATTGAAGATGATAACAGAGAAGTAATTATATTCTTAAATTTAGTTACAGCACTTTCAGAAAGACATCTACTGTGATGAAGTCTACTCTCCACTGCTGTGTAATGTAATTATTGTACTTAGAAAAGGATTAGACCAGATAAGGTTTTCAGGAAACACTGTTAAATGTTCAGTTTCTATGCCACATGTTAAAACAAGATCTAGAGTGTGATTAAAGTGGTGGGTGGGTTCTTTTACATTTTGAGAGAAGCCAATTGAGTCTAATGACAGATTAAATGTCTTGTTGAGTTTGTCATTTTTAGCATCTACATGGATGTTAAAATCACCCACAATAATTATTTTATCTGAGCACTAAATCAGATAAAAAAACTTGCCTGCTATTTGTTGGTCCCATTTTTGCTGGTAAAACAGCCCTTAACAGTTGAGACATGGACTCCATTAGTGGTTGCTAGAGTACTTTTCTATGCTGTGGTGTGCTGGGGGAGCAGCACAGCAAAGA